CAAATGCTCTAGTCTAAAACTATCAACATTGTACCATTAAATACTCTTTATCAGCTCAAGTAACTGTATATCACTATTCTCCGTGCATTATCTTCTAGTTATACGCATTCTGTATTTAGTTGCCTTGGACCTGTGATGTGCAAATAAATTTGAATTTAATCTAATTTTGCCTTAGCTCAGGTTTCTGTATTAGAATCTTAGTTCAGTCTCTCTGAAGCACATGAATTAAAGCCAAAGTTCAAGTTTAAGTTTTTATTACAATAGAGGATATTAAATTATTTCCATATCAAATTATAAATTATGAATAAAACAATTTTTTTTGTAATTTTCAAATAAAAATAGTAAAGACAGTGAGCAAGGAATGAGTCTGGTTTAAATTATTTGGAGAACAGTGAAACTCCTAAACAGATGCTACTTAAATATCAGAATAAAAAGATGGTGGGAAGACCACCCTGCTCACACAGCTGGCATCTGAGGATATCAGCCATCACCCCCCCACGCAGAGATTCAACATTAAGAGCGTGCAGTCTCAGGGCTTTCAAAATTCATAGGAACAGTGTATAGCACAGGTACTGTGGAAGAAGGAGCAAACTGCAGTAATAATTTTGACATCTATCCACGATGAGCAAGAAGGACGTGGGGATCTGTGCAGTCTGACCAGGAGATGGTTACCTGCTCACAGACTGGACGAGGGACACGTAGTCCAGGTGTAGACAGATTCAGTTTTTAAAAACCTCATCTGAGTTCTTAAAAAGAAGTCATGTCAGAAGGATCTGTTTGTTAAAACAAAGGTTGAATCGTTTCTAAAGGAAAATAAATTGAGATCAGGAAACTCCTCCTCCGTTAGAAGAGGTCCAGTTCAGTCAGGGCTTGGCCCCTGGTGGGAAACCGGCTGCAAGAGTGTTAAAAAAAAGAGAGAACTAAAAAAAGAGGAAGAGCTGCTTATTATTAGAGATGGTGTGTTTTGGTTCATGTTTAGATTAACTGACCACTGAAAGAAAGACACATTTCTCTTCTGCACCTCAAAGGAAAATCTCTGAGGCAACTCAGAAATCAAAACTTAAAAATCCAGTTTTTTAATCCTCTCTTCCACTCATTCTAACAGTACCTGTACAGATTAAAAGAAGAGCAGTTACCCATCAAGCATGAGTTCGTTAAAGAATAATGTTCCACCTGAGATGAAGCATGGAGAGGAGGTTAAGTGAAAAATTGTTATTCAAACAAATCCATCAAATATCACACATCAACACACAAGAATGAACTGTTCTGAGTTTCACTGAAGGTTTGGCACTGATAGTCTGGCCCTTGCCTTCCTACACAGTTCTGCTCAAGTCTAGAGTCTGATTGGCTGGACACATACAGGTGCTGGTAGTGTTTGAGGAAAAGAAAAGTTCTCATGTAAGAGGAACAAATATGGGTTCTGTGATGATCCTGAAAGGAATCCATGTTAGATGAGATCAAAAACATCAAAGAGAAGTCCTAATAAATGTAAAAATATAAATGAAGCACCACACCCTCCAGAAGCTGCTGTGACGGAATCTGTTCATTACCCGTCAGCTGGTGAATGATCTTGATAGAAGTGATGAGTCAGGACTCAGCAGACAGGCTCACGTCAGTACATCAAACACTAGATTAAGACTTCAGAAGTTTTCATTTCAGAAGTTTATTGTCATCTTGAAAGAGGCGTGGGAAACCCTGGTCAGGTCAAAACAAACCAACTTACAGATTTCAATCATTTCCCACAAGCTCGACCAGAGCCAAGTGACTCAACTGTGAATCTTCATGTGACCCAACAAGTCACTTTTTTGCCTAAAACTTTTGTCACATTCTTTGCAGGAGTACGGTTTCTCACCTGTGTGAGTTCGCATGTGCGTCAAAAAGTTGCTTTTTTGGTTGAAACTCTTCCCACAATCATTGCAAGCATACGGTTTCTCACCTGTGTGAATCATCATGTGTGATGACAAATTACTCATTTGACTGAAACTCTTCCCGCATTCTTTGCAGGAGTAGTGTTTCTCTCCTGTACGAGTTCTCATGTGCCGCAGCAGGTTGCCCTCGAGACTGAAGCTCTTCCCACAGGCTTTGCAAGAGTACGGCTTCTCACCCGTGTGAGTCCTCATGTGACGAGTCAAAACACTGAGATACTCAAAACTTTTACCACATTTTTCACATGAATGTGGATATTTGTTATTATGGCTTCGAATGTGGGACAACAAAAGATGGTTTCGTTTGAAAGTTTTATCACATAACTTGCATGAATAACCCTTTTCCTTTGAGTGAATGTTCTTGTGACGGTTCAACGATGATAAATGAGAGAAACTTTTGCCACAGCTGTCACAAGTGTATGGTTTCCTCTTGTCTATGAGGCTGTTTTGACTTGGTCCTGACTCTATGGGAGACATGTGAGAGTGGAGCTGGTCTCCGTTTGGTTCCGTTTCCCTTTGGTCACTTTCTTCAGAAGTAGGAGTCTCCACAAAGGTTTTGGTCTCCTCTTCCAGAACAAACTGCTCTTCATCCTGGTTGATGCAGACTTCTTGCCGTTCTTCTTTAATCTCTGAAGATTCTGGTTCTTCCTTAATCTGTGAAGGAATCAGTTCTTCTTTAATCCCTGGAGAATCTGGGTCTTCTTTCATCTGCAAAGGATCTTGTTTGTCTTTATCATGTGGAGAATCTGGTTCTTCTTTAATTTGTTGAGGTTCTGGCTCCTCACGGTCCATTCTGCAGTTCCTCTCCTGCTTCAAGAGCTGTTGATCCATCAGAACCTCCTGCTCTAGTTCTGGAAGACAAAAGAAAAAGAATGGAAGCTATGATAGAAAAAAACACAATCGATCAAATACAGTATATCTACCAAAGCATACAGTTACAGTAAACACTACTTATATCGAGCACAATGAATGGTGTCAGTGCGAGGGATGAGATGGATGCAGCTGCTGTGTTGTGCAGCAGTAAGGAGTTGGATTGTGTTTATCAGAAAGCAAAACACATCTGCTTTCATGCATCTGAACGGATGGAGGACTTTGTATGTACGTGTGTGTTTTGTCAGGCAGAACTAGTCTCAGACACATGAACGCCTCGGACCCAACATGCTGCAGAAACATCAGAGCCCCTCCTACTGCTGTACACATCACAGCACCGGTCTCATCCTGATGGAGTCCATGATAACTTGGCCACAAATCACAGACAGAGCGCCTAACTTTTCAGCAGACAGATTCCTTCATGCACAACATCTCCATCCAGGAGTTTTCACTTATTTGACTCTAAATGTCTGCACAAGTAGTTGAGTCTTCCCTCGCTGGAATCACTGTAACTAAACATTTATTGCGTTCTTTTTTTGAGTGTTGGCCCGGTTCTCCTAAACTCTGATAACTTTGGTATTTTTCAAAACATTTGTGGCTCTCTCAAATTTTACTAAAAAACAAAAACAAAACAAAAAAAATGTTTTAAAAACCAAAGTCAAACAGGAATCAGAAACTCCCCCTCATGGAGTCATTTTTGTCTCTATTTTTTTTTCAACCTCACACAAAATCCTACTTATTCTACTCATAAACCTCAGAAGTGAACCCTGATAAGCTCTTCTGGATTTGTGGTCATATTATGGAAAGGCGTCCACAAAGACCTGGGGTCAGATTTATAAAGGATTGCGTGGAAACCATACTAAATGTGAACGTACGGCCAAAAGGCGAAAATGGCATAAGCCAAAAAAAAATTCTGATTTATAAAACCGTGCATACACATGTCTGCGCATCTTTCATTTTTAGATCACAGCGGCACCTCAGAGTTTGCGTACAAGGTCCCGCCTTAGGTTCTACCCTCTACACGCCCACATTCAACCATAAACAGTCAATGCAAAGCACCTCATGAATGTTAAGATGTATTTAAATCAGTCAGCTGATCAATGTCAAAAAAAAGATTGGCCGACTCAGACACGTGCTCCGTTGTGCGTCTGGAGGATGAAAGGTGCTGACAACTGCTCACGTGAACAGATTATCTGTAATTGACACAGATTTTCCCGTATTTTGCAGATTTACAGACATTTAGAGTAATCTAATGATTTTTATCAAAAACTCAGGTTCAAATTAATTTTCTCTCAGAGCCTGCAGGACGATAAAAACAATAAATAAAATTCCATATAAGTCAGATAAACTTAGAAATAATTTCACCACTTGTCTCCCCGTCCTCCCCCTCTGCTGTTATCCGTGGCAGACCCCCCCCCCCACACACACACACACACCCGCGCGCATGATAAATACGAATCTTAAAAAGTGAAGTTTTATAACAGCCACACTGACAAGGGGCTCGCCCTGCAAGTACCCAAAGCGTGCCTTTTTGCTACCGTGCTGTTGAAATGTCTCTTGTCGGGGAGGGGTCTGTGGGTCAGGGTCATCTGAGGAGGAGGGTGATGAATGGAGTTGAGGGAACTTTTGTTTAAGATTTAAGTTTTTTTATTTCAAAGATCCTTATGGCTCAGCAGCAGAAGCATAAATTATATTGATGATGATAAAGTTGAATAAAAATCTAAGTCTGATTATGAAGGTAAATTAAATATCTGACAGTGATCATGAGGAGCCAGTTGAGGTGGCTTGGGCATCTGGTAAGGATGCCTCCTGGACGCCTCCCTGGTGAGGTATTCCGGGCACGTCCCACCGGGAGGAGGCCCCGAGGAAGACCCAGGACACGCTGGAGGGACTATGTCTCTCGGCTGGCCTGGGAACGCCTTGGAGTTCCCCCGGAGGAGCTGGAAGAAGTGGCTGGGGAGAGGGAGGTCTGGGCCTCCCTTCTGAAGCTGCTGCCCCCGCGACCCGACCCTGGATAGGCGGAAGAAAATGGATGGATGGATGGATGGATGGATGATCATGACGCAGTGTGGCTCTAATTCCTCTTCACCATCTGTGTCGCAGCTTCATGTTTCCAAAATGAGCGTACGCATGGGTCAAAGCTGGCGTGAGGCACCGCACATTTTCACGTCAAGTTTGGATTTTATGAATCAACCTTGGTGTGAAAAGTGGAGTACACAAGTTTCTGGGCTCCTTTTGTGCGTACGCCGGTTTTATAAATCTGACCCCTGGAAGTTACATTTAAGTAGAAAATCAATTCTGACTTCAAAATGTTGGAGCTGTCAGGTGTAGGAGAGATGAACACAAAGTGATGTTGGTGGCCAGTAAAAAGTCCGTGACCAAGAGTTCAGGAAAATGTGCAGCAACTTCCTGTTTTCTCCTGATGGTTTTTATTTTTGTATTTTAAAGTTAAAACTAATAAAAATGTTTGATTAAAAACACAAACAAACTCTGTTATGACCATGGAGACCATCACAGAGTTTCATACCTGAAGTCTGAAGGTCCCTCTGGACCGGTCCGCTCTGACCACCCATCCCTTTCTGGAACCGGACCCTCCTGCTGTTCTCACAAGCTCCAGATGTTTCCTCACATCTGGATTTAGGCATCAGAAAAGAATCAGTGTCCAAGAAATGCTCAACCTCCTGCCTGGTCCAGAATTCAACCTGGATGTCTTTGATCTGAGGAGGTTCTGGTTCCTCCTCCACAGAACCGTCTTCATGTGGAGGTTCTGGAGGAACAAATGGACAAAATGAACACAAAGTCTTAAATTTTAAAAGATAAACAAGGATCCTGTGGTGTGGACAGATCCAAAGCTCAACACTGCTGGGAAACAGGAAGAGCACTCGGTTTCCCTCGATGACACTGAAATGCAGCAGTAAAACGTGTTCTGTTCTATCCAGACAGTCTACAGAACCTCTCGGGTCAACAGGAGGAGCCGAGTGCAGCACAGCAGGTCCAACAAGAACAAACTGAATCATGGAATTGAAAGTAGTCAAACTGAACTTTTAAGGCAACAAAATGCAGTTTCAAAGCAAATTAGTGAAATTCATTTTCAAACCAATGATTCCACATTATGCAAATAAAGAATCAGTCTGAACAGTTTGACTTCAGTTTCTAATTATAGATCAGTTTTCTTCCCATACTGAGCTCTATTATCAGTTAGATCTGTGGAGAACAGATGGTCGTTAAAATCTGCTGCATCTTTTTCCACATTCTCTTTCTGAAAAAAGGAGGCAAGTCTCATTTAAAGTTGAGTTTTGGATTTTCCAGATTGTTTGTAATTAATAAATAAATATAAGGGTATAAACCACCAGCTTTATCACAGTACAATATTATATCAATTTGTTTGGATGAAGTTTCTTGATATCACAAAGTCTGGTTTGATTCAGTTCAAATCACAAGTCTGTGATTGATGAAGTAAAGTAAAGTAAATAAGGGCATTTATCGATCCACACCGCAAATATGATGATATGGATAGATGTTTTTGTTTATATATAAAATTTATATATATATATGTACATATATATATATGTATGTATGTATCTTTAACCCTCCTATCATCCTCAAATATAATAATAAATTTGGTCCTTGGGGTCAATCTAACCCCAGGGGCATTTAGTTGACCACGTTTTTGTGACAGGCACTTTGTTTGTTGAATACATAAATAACCCCTTGAAAATCAGTGAGTTGACCTGTACTCTAGCGCCATCATCAGGCCAAACCTTTAAATTAGAATGAATTTATCTAGAATTTTTCATCCAAATCTTCTCAAATTTACTTCTCAACGTTAATGACCACAAGTCTCGTTTTGGTGATGATGGATAGGACCTTTACTGTAGCGCCACCATCAGAAAAACTTTCAGGTTGAGAGCACATTCATGACTCTCACAGAATGACCATGTCAACATCCAAGTCTTTCCAACTGTCCCCATATACACGCTTCCCCTCTAAATTTATCACCCCAAGCACAATATTGTTTATGGATGGCGTAAGAGTTTGAATGATGAATTGATGTCATCAACATGGCTGACTGCATATCTGGTGGGTCCTGGAACCATTTTGATAATATTACTAGTGCTACGTCTACGCTGCGTTTTCAGTGGAGAAAGGGATTATATTATTTTTCCATTTCTGGAAGAGATCATGTCTGCAGGTGGTTGAGAGACAACAGGAGGGTCACCACTCTCATTCTCATCAGATGAGAATTCCTCAATATCAGGGTCCTCCTGAACACAGTCCTGTCTCAGAGACAATCTCCTCTAAGTCACGTTCACTGTCCAAGAGCTGTTCCAAAATAAACCTTTTCCCAGAAGACATTTTCAAAGAGAGAGTGTGCACACACACACACACACACACACACACACACACACACACACACACACACACACACACACACACACATGCCCATGCACTCCCTGCTTCACAGAGAGCTGCTGTTCACAGAGAGAAGGTTGGTGCGAAAATACGGACTGGATAACAACCTGGCATATTCCTGTGTGTAACACCNAACAAAATATATCAACTCAAATGTATGAACTGCACCTGCAGGTGTGGTCATGTAAGGTCACACACACTGACAGACACGTTTTAACAGCTAAAACAACTTTGAGTCAAACTGACCCCTGAGGACGACCAATGCGTGCAGTATGTGTTCGGCTCATTGAAAAAATATCTTCATGAAAAGTTTATGTTTTATCAGTTGTCCCCGTCAAATTAGGCAAAGTCATGAAATATGAAGCAAAAGAAAAAAAGGTTCACTACTGTTTTTTGAATGATAAACATTGAATGGGGTCAAACTGACTCCAAAGACGATAGGAGGGTTAATAAATTAAGTCTTTAAACCTAAACCATGTGAACATCTTCCAGCTGCATCAGCATCAAGCTGACCTCCTCCTGCATCCTCCTAGCCTTCATCAACCTGACTGACACTTCCATCATCATCCTCAGACCTTTGCTCTCTGGCTGTCAACTCTTCATCACTTTTGTAACTTTAATCATCACTCGAGTCCGAGGTAATTTATTCAGCTATAGGCTTCTTTATATTTTTGCAGTGCTTTTCGTATAAACGATGAGAGATACTCACACAAATGCTAATAATTTGCACAAGACTGCATTTTTGTAACCAAGCATAAAAAAATACACGAAGTCGTAACTTGACGATGAACGAGGTCCATTTCAGTGGATGTATGGTAATTCATTACTAAAATTAAAGGGTCAACAACGTTCATACAGTGAAAAGTTTGATGAACTCAACAATTCATGCAGAGTGTTAAAGCAGAAAAACAGGAAAGCCCTGAGAATGAGGACGAACCTGAGAAAACAGACATTTTACTGCTCTGCTCCTATTTTGTCCACATCCGACTTCAACACAACACAGATGGTTCCGAATGTCTCAGCGGACAAACAAATCCCTTTAAGTTTTCACCTCAGACAGCACACAAAGCTAATGTTATTAGCAATAGCAACATCATTGGTTAGCATTCTCCCGGATGTGACGTATAGCCTGAACTTCCGCCTTAGATAATAAAACATTTGAAGTTGTTGGGGTTTTTTTTCCACAAGTTTATATTTATGTGCGGCAGCTAATAACTTAATTCTGCTACTAAGAGATTAATATTTCCTAAGAGTTGAAAAGGCAGATAGACTGTTTAAAATAGGCTCGCGCTGCTACACAGTTTTATTTACGGCCCCCATGTCGATGATAATATGCTGCGTTTAAATACACCTCGTAAACCCAACAATCTAAAATTATTTAAGACAAGTGTCTTTTATAACTATGGGTGTGGCATTTTTAAGTGACCATTAAAAATACATAGGGTATATTTATGGAAGCCCATTTGCTTTGGAAGCCCATTTCCGCCACCCTGATAAAAAATAAATAAAACTTGTATCTCATAATTATGACTTAGCTATCTCATTATTATGAGATACTANGTATCTCATAATTATGACTTAGCTATCTCATTATTATGAGATACTATCTCATAATTATGAGATAGCTAAGTCATAATTATGAGATAGTATCTCATAATTATGAGATACAAGTTTTATTTATTTTTTGTATCTCATAATTATGAGATACTATCTCATAATTATGAGATAGCTATCTCATGACCATGTGCCAAATGATGCATTAGTTGTACTTTGTAAATTAAGGACTATGGTCTCATGAAAGTATTCAAATTCACATTTAATATTTGAAGTACTTTATTATGAATATACAAAAATATAAACTGGGGGAAAAATGTTTGTTGTTTTGAAATCATTTTGGCTAACAATGGAATGAGCTTTATCAGGATATATAATTAGCTAAAACGTAACTTATGAATATTAAAACATTTGCATCAACACTATCAGCCATCAATATGTAGGTCAGATTGTGGGACACATTTGCCATGGCCTGGGGTGAAAATACCTGAGATATTCACTAATAATTAGTTCACTATTGAGGGCTTTCTGATCATCCTCTGCCTCCTTCCTTTCTCTTAGTCTTCAGTCAGGGTGCTGAACTCTTGTGAGGTGTGTTCATGCCTTCACGTCAGTGCCTTATGTCTCCTCCTTTGTTCAGGTTGTTGGACCAAAGATCTGTCTGAGGGGCTTCAGCCCCTTACAGAACAGAGGAGGGGACAGAACCTCATGTATATGTCACATTTGATCCTGACTTGTGCGTTCGGCTTTGAACTGACCGCTAAAATCATCTTCCACGTTCCCCTCAGGTTCTTTTTGTCCTGTTGATGAATATGATTTAGATTAAATACATGTGGCAGAATGATGTCTAAGAGAGGCAAGGTGATCACAACCAAAAGCTAATTATTAGTTCCAACAATATACAGTACATGTAGCTAACGTAAATCAACTTTTGTTCATAGTACAAGTAATAAATCACAAAATGATGAACAATTGGATAACAATAGGAATTTAAATTTGCGCTTAAAATGACCAACATGCATTTTTTTATTTATACACAAAGTTCAAATATTTCAGTTTCAAGCTAATATAATAGAAACATTTCCAACAGGAGAGATTATAACACAAGCTCATGTAACTTTGAACATCCACATATTATAATATCAACTTTAGTTGGAGAATGAAGAAAAGTCTCAACTAACAAGAAAAATGTCCAATCTCTTTTTAATGATTACTAAAAATATTATTATCTATCACTGAGGCTTTTTTTCTGCTTGGCTCTTGGAAGAGTCAGACGCTTCTGCTCTTTCTCCAGCACCTCCCACATTCTCCTGCTTTACTGCTGTGCTGGATCTTGACTTCCTTCTACCTATCATTCAAGAACTGGAATTATGGATCTGGTCAATTGGTCTCTGAATGCAATTGACACAATTTTCTCCACTTCGAGATTGGAGCGTGGGGATCGCTCCTGCCCCACTACGGTGCCAGCAGGGCGAATTTCGGGAAGCTGGGAGTCCTGGAATTTGATCTGCCTGGCACCTCTGTCCATTGAGGATGCCGAAGATATTTTTATATTTGGCTTTAAGATAATCGGATTCCTGCTGTTCGGCTGTGGAGGAGTTCTGGTTTATGGGAAAATGAGAATGGCGCTGGCAGCGATCCGATCCTGTGAGAAGCTGTCAGTGTCCCTGGACGGGATCTCTCGAACGCAGAACACAGACTCAAATTATGGGAGAACTGAGTCGCAAACTGGATGCGGTGCTAACTAGGATCGCAGCTCAGCAGTGCGAGGAGTGAGGCAACATCTGGGTGAAGTTCTTACGGGAGAAAGCGAGGTGGTAATTAATCTGGACCATTTGTCATTTTCGCAACACAGAGACACAGTAAAGACTCAAACGGTGGTGGAAAGTATTCTGCTGCTGTCCTAAAGCATTTTCTTTTTTTCACCATTGGATCCCCACAGATGTGTCCTTGGGGCAGACTGATAAAGAACTCCCTGAAAGAAGTTATGCGTGGGTGGTAGACATGATCTTTCCACTCCCTCCCTATCCCCATCCCTTATCTTGTGTCTGTCTCCAGACGAGGCCATGGAGTTGGAATAGAGAACTGAACTCTGTACAGAGATATGGACTCTGGGAAACTGCGTTCGAGGGATAACATCAGTTGGACTATGGAGGTCTCTGTATGGGGCAGGCACTTGCCCTCGACGTCACAGGTTCCTCCACAATCCCTTCCCCYGTCCATATTTGTTCTCCTGTAACCCCCCMCCCCCACCCCCCACCCCCCGCTTGCTGCCTCTGCTTCTACCTGCAACGCTCGTGTGCTTATGTTTGCTAAACACAAGATCAAAGTTTTTTTAAACTCATCTTTCCTATGTGTGTGTGTATTCCAAACTGCAAGGCAGCGCACGTCGTTGCGCAGGGCCCTGGACATTCATTCCCCCGTGTCTATCATGTGTATGTGTTCCTCCGGACAGATGTTCAAAACTGCAAATTTCGTTCTGCATTACATCTGGATGTTGTGATTGAATGACAAGAAAGGATTCTTGATTCTTGATTCTTGAGTATTGATGGTCACATAACGAATCACAGCTGTTTGTTGTTGTGCTGAAAAGGCCATTGGAGCCATGGGTCTGGTGAGAGACACATTGCCGGGGACATAGACCTTAGAGAAGACGTTTGTGGACACACTGTTATTTGCTAAAATAGCTGAATCCTGGAGACACTGGGAGAGAGGAGTGCAGGCCGGCATGGGGGGCCTGATGAAACCAAAAGGGTAAGGAGCTGTAGGGCTGGGCATCAGCATGGGGGGAAACATGGGTGTGGGTGGGAGCATGGGTGTGGCAGGAAGCAGTGGTGCTGGGAGGCTGGGCACTGGTGCTGGGCTCGGCAGAGGGGGTGTGGGGTAAGGACAAGCTGAATCACATGAATCCATTCCTTCATACTGACACCGTCCTAACAGAATGCCCCTCTGCTCCACCTGCAGAGCTCCAGACAGGACCTGGAAGGAGTCCGTCAGTTTCTCATTTATCTTGATGAATTTATCTTCATATGTGCTGCTCTTCATAAAGCTCTTGAATCCTTTAACTCTGGAGTATTTTTCCAACAGAGCCTTGGCAGAGATCAGTGTGTTGCAAAGTTCTTGCAGAGCTTGCTCCACCACGGGGGACATTTGTCCAGGTTCTTTGATGGCCAAAACCAACTGCTCCAGCAATTTAACTCGACCTTCAGTGCGTTTGCAGCGTTCCTTGTTGGTCTTCATGCTTCCAACCATCTGATAAATGCTGGAGCACAGGTTCAAGACCTTTTGGATAATCTCCATCTTACTCATGATCACATCCATCGTGGCAGAGGAGCAGGGAACTGGAGATGTAAAGAAGCCACAAGTTAAACTGTGCTGAAATGAAAAAAAAATTATAAGCAAACTTCATCTATTCAAAGCACCAACCAGCAGAGCCAAGTTGCTCTTTAAGATCAATAAAAAAATTCAAGCTTTGTTTGGGGGAACATGTTTACTTTGAAGAAAACATTTTAAGTATCACAGCTTTAGTCTGAAACAGCAGCATTTTTTCTTTTTTCTTCACTTAAAAACTAAATAAATTCTACATACAAAAAAATACAAATCAAATAAAATGAAAGGCAGCAGAAAGAAGAAAAAAAATCTTATATCTGCCCCTTTTTCCCAAAAAATAAATTTATACAATATTAATCTACAAGAACTGTTATTATTCAGGCTGTTGTTGAGACTGTCAAATTTTAAGCTCACATTTCTTAAGGCTCGTTCACACCGAGAGCGTTTTGAGCGGCAGGAGCTGCCAGTTTACATGCAAAGTCTATGGCGAACGCGCCTCAAGGGGTTGTGCGTCGCGTCACGCGCGTTATGAGCGGCGCGCAAGGAAGGCGGAAGGGGCGCAGAGCGTTTTC